TGCACAAAGTCGCGTACACCATCATGTTTGGTTGATCTTAAGGCTTTATCTAATCAGCAGAATCCATTAGATTTTTTAAAAGAAGTAAGCCAAAATATTAACCTGTTATAATTAATTTATACACTAGCATTAACTTTGCTATATATTTTTATTCATTTTGCAAGTTTACAAATCAAATGCAAATTGAAAATAAAATATACGGAATAACACAATTTTCAGACACCGGTGAATATATGATTGTATTTGATAACAAAGATAACGATGAATTTGATTCAAAAAGACATTATTGCCATGGAAAATGTAACAATTGTAATCGCTTTAATACTTCAAAAAATTGGTGTCAATCATGCGATCCTTATAGAATATCTCGGGAATGGACGAGTGGTAATAAAGATATTGATGATTGTATTAAAGAGTTTCAACTTAATGCTACGGAATATAAAAAAGCAATTGAATGGATTCCGTTTGAAAAATTAAGTGTCATTAAAGAGATCGGCAAAGGAGGATTTGGTACGGTATTTTTAGCCAATTGGCAATCACAATCTATGAAGGTAGCAATCAAGACTTTACCCGGATCAAAAAAAAATCCTAATGATTTTCTAAAAGAAGTAAGATAAATTATTGAATTATTTTGTCTATGGTGTATAATATCTTTAATTTACGCAAATTTTATTTTTATTAGTTTAGAAGTCATATGCATTGTAGATTAAGTGGTAGCAGGCTTGTAGTATATGGATTAACTCAAAATACGGAAACAGAAGAATATATGATGGCATTTCAATATGCTAATAAAGGAGATCTTCATAATTATCTAAAATCGAACTTTGAAGAACTAACTTGGGAAGATAAATTATCATTATTAATCGATATTTTAAAGGATCTAATTAAAATTCACAAAGCAGGATATATTCACTGTGATCTTCACTGCGGCAACATTTTGCAACATGAAGAATCATGGCTTGGTTCGTTAAAATCCTATGTTACAGATTTAGGACTATCACGAAAGAATGAAGAATGCATTTCAAAAAATGGAATTTGTGGGGTTATGCCTTATATTGCACCTGAAGTTTTATTAGGTAAGGAATATACACCAGCGGCCGATATATATAGTTTCGGCGTTATTATGGCGGCAATGACTACAGGAATACGTCCATTTTATGGACGTTCATTTGACATTGAACTTGCATTAGAAATTTGCAGTGGAAGGAGACCTGACTTTGCTTTAGGAACACCTGGCTGCTATACTGAATTGGCAAAACTATGTATGGATTCAGACTCGCAAAAACGACCTACTGCTGAAACAATTCATAATAAGCTTTCTGAATGGCATAGTTTTGTGAATCAACCTAATGAATTTTATGAATCTGACGAACTTGATGAATATAGTAAACTGGATGAATTTGATGAATCTGATAAATCCACTGAAGAATTACAGATAATTAGTGAATTTATGGCAGCTGATATGAGAATCCTAGAGCTTTCAATAAATTTGAAAGAACATCCTGATATCGCATATCGATATGCGAGTAAATTTATTAATACACATGAAATTGCTCAGCAATATAAAGAAAGAAACAACCATCTTGACATATATGGTATGGATAGTCATACACATTACGGATGGATTCGGTTAGGTTATTATTATTATAGCTGTAATAAACCGGTTATATATAACCAATCAATGATCGGCTATAACAAGTCACTAGCGGTTATTTCTACGATATAGGTAGCGTTCCCACAAAAATTATTCATCCTCAGTAATTTTAACCAATCAAAATTTAAAATCAGATGTGTGTTTTGTTTTCTAAGTAAAAAAGTTACGTGTAAAATGAAAACCAAGGAAACCGTGTTACAGTTAGAGTTAGGATTGGAACAATATAGCCCTACGAGTAAAACATCACGAGAAACATTTTTAATTAGGTTGCAGAAGGTAGTCTCCTAATTAAAATTTAGAGTTATTGATTTTTTTGTTTCGTTTCGATTTTACGTTACACCTGATCCTGAAACTCTATTGGTCAAAATTACAGGGGATGGACAATTTTTTGTGGGAGAGCTAGGGGCGTTATAATTATCTGTCATAGTAATGCTGCACATCAAAATAAAAATCTACAATAATGATAACCGACGATAACCGAATCGATCCACCCATCCTAATATGGCGGATGGACTGCGAAAACCTCTGTTTGGCACTTATTTTTAAAATGTTATTTTCTTAGTCCATCCCCCATATACACTACAGTATCTTTATTACTTTTTTTAATGTAATATCTGTTATGTAATGTAGGTTCCATTCCTGTTATTAGTGCTGAAATTCCAGTTGACATAGCAGCAAGTCACAGATCAAAAAGACAGAAAACTGGCCAGGAATCATATACCACATGCAATTAAGTGCGATATTAAAAGTACCTAATGTGAGATGAGTAACAGGTCCCATCCGAAGCCTAATTATAACCGATTCAACATAGTTGTAATACAATTTCAGATGCATTGTTCCTTAATATCCCTAGATCTGATGAGTTCTTACGACATTTCAGTAATAAATTTATAAATTCGGTCTGCTGAATAAATATATTAAAAGTGTTTACGTAGAAATAAATTTAATGAATTAAAGAAATTAAATGGTTGAAGAGGTAAAAGGATTTTATGTGTTTGATGATAAATTATTAATAAATAAAATTTACTATTACAATAAAGGCTATTTTCTCACTGCTGGAAAAGCATCGTTTAATTAATGAAATAAGAACTCCTTACATTTCTTAATTGTTTTTTAAGTAATTTGTTAAATTCCTTAACCAAATCCGCCGATATTGATGCTTGACGAAGCTATTTACATGACGAAATTGGCAAAACTGTAATTAAATTACTCTTAATGAAATTAACGAAACCACGCACTTCGTCAGGTTTTATCAGTTATGTTAGGCATTATTATCCGTTACAGTAAGGACCCAAGTAATCGGCTGTCTTCTGTGATTAAGCATTATGTTGCCGAAATATTAAATAAAATCGCATGACATTTTTGAGATAGAGAACATCAATATCGTGTGGTAACTTTTCAATAGTTTAGATAGTTGAGTTTGATTAAATCATGTTAGGGCCTCAATGAATGAAATCTTAATAAAATACATCCTTTTTTGGAAGAGTTGACGACTGTTGTTAAATTATTTATAGTTATTTACCTCCTGAAATAACTTTTGCAAGGTCATTTCAGTCATTTAACTTTATTATAAAATTTTGTATATTATTTCAGGATAATACACGACTTTTTTGACCCTTTAGCAGTCATTCAACATTGTGCATATGTGGAAATAATTTGCTTTAGTAAACATAGATCTATTTAAGGTTTATGAACAAATTTAAAATTGCTAGTCATCTTTTTTATCTGTAAAGCTCATTAAGCTTTACAAATATAAACTTCATGCATTATACTAAAAATCAATTTGTAAATGAGTCATTTTTGCTTTTATTATATAATTCATAATCACAATAGTAAATGTAAAACTTTAAATTAGGTAAACTTTTGTTATAGTATTTTTTGAAAATGTTAATTATGTTATGCAGTAGCTTTACTATGTAAGGATAATGCATATAAGATATTAATTAGGGTAGTTGCGTGACGCATGATGCCGCGCAGGACCAGTACGATCACGTATAACATGTAAATTCGGACTATTCGAAAGTTATTGATAAAGGATTTCAATA